AAACAAGAACAATACAAAACATTAATTGTGATTTTTTACTATTTCCGTCACATGTGAAAATAACACATTCGAGATTTCTTAATATAGTGGAAGTAAGAAATAAGGTATTTTACGGCATAATTTGCTTTCATATGATAAACTGAATACATGGTCGCTTGGAGATACGAATTTTATCTTCTTATGTTGAAAATCTCTCACTCGTGAGAGATCTTTTCAACACACGAAAAAAAAAAATCCGTATCTTCGCGCGTCCATGTAATATCCTCTCTATCTTTCATTAATATGAAAGTTTAAACTGGCTATTTCTCCTCAAATATCAAGATGGCGGATGTTTTGGGATGTTATTTATAAATAATGGAGGACGGAAGCTTTGCAAATTAACCATTATCAACCATTTAATCATTATCGATGCATTTGAGAGGGAAAATAACAGCAGCTGCGTGCACTAGAAGATATATGCTTTCCACACCCTCAAAAACAGTCTTGACAGCAATATGTGTAGTACCTTCGTCTATATATCCCATAGTGCATAGCGCGGTGATTGCACAGCGTTGTTTGTGGAAAGAACCGTTGTCTTTTCTTCTTTTGTTGGCAGTGGCAGGTACAGAATTTTATGAAAAGATTAGTCATTGTATATAAGAAAATGTCGACATTCAATATAAAAAGCCACTCAAAAGCATCAAAATGGACGCCAACCTGGACCCGACATTTTGCCTGAGTCATGTGCTCGGCCTCGTCACAAACTCAGTGACTTTCTGGAGAGTATTTCGATTCCATGGTGTGTTAATCGTGTAAAATATAGATTCAAAGAGATTTTACGAGATAACAAAAATCTTTCCATAATTTAGAAATGTGCACTAGTCCTGGAAATTTCTCTATGTACTATTTATACAAGGGTTTTCCGTCGTTACTGTTGTTGTTGTTTTATTAGACTGTGGTATTTTTGTACTGTAGTTTGTCATACTAAACATCCTTGGCATCAGCCAATTACCTTTTATTTTACATTGACTGCGGTCGAAAGAAAGCATGCGTGGAGTTTGGGAAACAGCATGCAGAAAAAGGACTAAATAGTTACCGAGCGTAGCGAGTAATTTTGTCGCCATTGATTTTTTTCCCCAACATTCCCAAGTGGTTTATTTCACCAAGAAACGCACGGCAATCCTTCCTTTATTACTTAATGATATAGAAAGTTAGTCATGTTCTTCGCGAGCGTACATTTACCGGCGAACAATAATCAACAATAATAATTTTTAAATGTGCCTTGACGCAAGTCAGTCACGTAGTATACTGTCCGCAAATGTTCCTCATGTCACAAGTTAAGCTTGAACGACTAAATCAACGCAATTTTCATTAAATTAAAAGAAAGAATGTTCGTGGATACATCTAATGGAAAAAGACGTCGGACCGCAACACGGTCACATGACCAAAGCTAAGATAGAANTTTATTCACAGTTTTATCTATCAGCTGGAGTTCGACGGCGTAAAATAATTTTCTCTAAACCTATCACACATTATTTCAAATTCTCTGTTCTTGTCACGGAGTGAGTCCATAGTCACAGACTTCTGTTGAAACACGAAGAAAAAGTGTTACTTTATCTTCTCTTACAACATAAAAAATTATTTTAAAAGCAAATTATAGGAATTTGTAGGCACTGCTCAGTGTCATGCTAGATTGGGGTGCGCAAAGGATCAAGGGAAGTCAGACATCTCTTCATGCAATGCGACCAGTAAAACGAGCAAGAGAAACGACTGGGTACGAGTCTGGTGATATGCAATATTTCCTTGATGTTCAAATCAAAAAAGAAAAACATCTAAAAGTCTTTACTTGAAAAATATAAACCGACGCGCGCGTCTCTGTCCTCTGATATAAACACGGTTGGAGTTGAAAAACACGAGAGAAGCAAGCTTAGAAACACGGTCGCCAGCCAATCAGAGTGCGAGTTAGATATCAAAAATTTTATAAATTTTAATCAGTAATAAAAGAGATAGGCAAAGTTTACTCACATTGTACTCGTGTGTCTTTTCCATGGTAAGAAGGTGTCTGGAGATATTCGTGAACAAGTTTTGCTCGCTGTTTGCCACAAGTCGAAAGCATGGATGATGAGGGACTTTGCTGTCAGAATAACTGAACGAAACAAGTACACTTTTATTGTTTGAACATTTTTRAAAAGAGCAGARAAATCTYTGTAAATAGGGTAGAATGTTTTGTACGCCTTGTTTCATGCTGCAGAATGAAGAAGTATCAAACATTTGTTGGATGTATTAAGAACAGACATATGAAAATGGTGGGAACTAGCGGTAAACTAGTGTGAGCTGCGTCGGTGTTTCTAAAGAAACAGTTATGTAAAAAGATMAATTTAACACCGTAAAAAAGTATGTGGAAAAACTTACTGACGTTTCGGATGTTAATCCTTCGTCGGAGTAAAGATGGTGACATCAGTAAGTTTTTCCACATACTTTTTTACGGTGTTAAATTTATCTTTTTACATAACTGAGACATATGAAAAGACTCTTTTTAATAATAGAAATTTTGGCAACACTCAGGGACTATCTATCACTGACTGCTGTTGCTATAAACACCATTACACATTTCAGGGGGGGATCCAGCTGGTGATTGCACACCCACTCCTGAGGTCTGTATCTTTTAATATTCTTCTTATTTTGTATCTTCATGGTGATTTTTGTGGGGGTCGACCACTACCGTCAGAACGAAGCTTGTGATTGATCGAGACAACAAAAACAAAGAATTGTAGGATTATGTCAGACAATGTCTATTGTTCTACTGGACATCTTCGTCTTTTGTATTGCCTGTCTCTCTTTGTTATTTTATCAAATCACAATCTTTGTTTTAACAGTAGTGTACACTCGTTCTATAGTACTGTAGTGAATCCACAAATTTCAACACATAAACAAGAACAATTAGACAATAGGTACAGTGGTGAACAAATCCACCTTCATACTTAGGCGCATTACGAGGAAATATATCGATTGAAAATCAATGTAATAACTTTTAAATGCCCAGTAACTCTGAAGGTTTATTATAAGTATGTAATAGCATGGCTCTGAGGGAGATTAGGGATTAAATGTCCCCGAAGCCGAGGGCAGATAAGTTGAAGTCCAGACGGCAGCAGGCCAGAGGGACTT